GTGGCTCCGGTGGCGGAGTTGCAAGAGACGAGTGTTTCGCGGCTGTCGAAGCGGACTGAGGCAGAGACGCGGCGCTTGCGTGGAGTGTCCTCGTACGGCGCGACGCCCAGATCCGCACTAAAAATCCGATAAGCCCGGTAAATTCATCGATGATGGCAACCCGATCCCAAAGCTACGATGGCTGCAACTAGGCCTAATGGCCGACGAGCCGACCGGGCCGACGGGCTATCAACCAAACTCGCGTCCAATTGGCCAACCGCTTTGCTCCAATCGCTAAACTGTTTCATTTTACGCCATGAAGCGCTATGTTTTGCTTATTTAAAGTTGTTTTCTGCAATATTTAATTTGCTAATAACTCACAAAATATTGCGAATTTCTGTAATATTTTTTTTTCCTCGGTGTTCCTGCTTTCATGGAGCTCCGTTTCAGCGCGAACTTCAAACCGGTCAAAAAATTGTTGGTGGGCCCCTTTAATTTTTCGTCTCAGAGGGTGCCGTCTTTCTCCGGATATGCTTGACGACGTCTTGCTTCTTCGGGTCAGCTGCCTGACATTGAACTGTGCTTTCACCCACGTCCCGAGGTGCCCCAGCACTAGCTTGTTCGTTCCACACAGTAATCTGAGCCTTCGCTTTTTATATGTACCACTTTTATAAAGTATGCGTAGTTTATCTTTTGCTGCCGTCAATTGTTTTTGTAGCATATGAGTACGAACCGGGTTCGAACCGGTTTGAACCTTTATTTTTTCACTCCGGAGTTGAACCGGAGCTGAACCGTTTCCCTGAACCGGAACGAAAACCGGAACGAAAAACATTTCGGTTCGACACCCTGCCGCCGCCAGCCGATTCCTTTTACCGGCGCGCTGGCGGCGCTAGAGTAACTGTATAGGCTCTGCTTGCAGAGCCAGAGTATCGAGTTCCTTTTCCTTGCGCCGCCAACTCTGTATTGGCGGAGAAGCGGTCACGTGCACCGAGCTGGATCCAAACTTTATGAGGGAAAACGACCCTGCATGCGCCGAGTTTCGGGCAGAGCATGTTTCTCGCTTCGCGCTTGTTTTCCAAAGTTTTCCAAAGTCTGGGAAGCAGACGACACGGAGGACGTTCGCGCTGCTCGAGTCTTCGACGCTCGCGGAGTGATACGCGACCGGCACCTTCGGGCATTTCGGACCAGACAATCAACGCGTAGCTGCGACTTTCAAAGGAACGACGTTTTCGTCGGCTACTATGTTCTACCGATGGCATAAAGAAAATAGGAGACAAATAACGAGACGACGGCGCAAACGCAGCGTGCCGCCGCACTATATCTTCTCAGTTCCGCACGCCGCAGCACGCCGCCTCACAGCCGTGCCATCCACGCTTCTGGATCTCCTGAACAGGCGCCGGTCGCTTCCCGGAATGTGACCTTGGATCCAACATGGCCGCCCCGGGAGCAATATTGCGATACTCTGCTCCGCAAGCGGAGCATATGCGCTGTTGGCGGCGAGGGCCCGCAGCGCCATGGGGTGGCGCTCCTTGAAACTGACGCGCGGCGGCGAATGGGAGCCTCGTTCCTTAAAACTATGACGCGCGCCAGCCAATAGGAATCTATCTATCGAATTTCAGCTTCACTTTTGGCGAGGAGACTTTAGCTGCCATTTGGCGTAGCTTTTTCCGCGGCTTCAAAGTTGGGAAGCTTCAGATCTTGGCCTCACTTCGCTCCATTGAAATAGGGGAATTTAACTGTCGTTTGGCGCGGCTTTTGGCGCGGCTTCAAAGCTGATGACGTCGGCTCGCTCCACGAGGCAGTTAATGCTTTCGCGTTAAAAATGGTAAGCACAAAATGCTCCCATGCTGATAACTCCTTCAGAAGCCTCGAAAGTATAAAACAAACATCAAAACTATTTCAAAGCTGTAGTGTAAAAGCGCAAGAAGCTATTGAAAACTTTACAGAATGAAGGAAATTTTTTAAAAAATCAGGCGAGCTGGCGAAGAACTATTATAATAAACCCGAGACAGAGGAATCATTTAAAATTAACAGAACAACGAAGTCTCAAGCACAACTTTGAAGCTTATTCTAAAGAGAAATCGCCAAACATACACTTTTATACTGCCTTCACAGATTCAAAACACTCCTCGCCCCAACTACACAGTGAACCGTAACCTCCAACCAAAACACAAAGGACAGAGCACGAACAGAAGAGTACGTGTTGTTACGTGGATACTATTTTCACAGTTTGTTTACCTGTAATATTTTCGCTGTGTTTTAATATTAGGAAATAACCGTCGCAATAAATTGAATAATTAATTTGTTTTTCAAGTAACTGCTTAAATATTGGGTTCAATGGCCAAGTTGTAAATGCAGTTTTGAAGGCAGTCATTTTTAGTGCGAACGTATTAACTGGTCCCATGGAGCGATTCCGGCGTTGTCTGTAGTCGTTGTCTGTAGCAGCGAACAAGGGCACCTAAATTCCCATTGGCTAGCGAAACGGCACTTGAATTTCCATTGGCCAAAAGCACAGCAACGCAGATGTTTCTTCACGGAATCCGTGGAGCCGGCATAGTTTACCGTGCCTGCGCAGTGGGGGAGCGTGATGTCACCGCCGGAGCGCCGTATTAAAAAGGAACACTTGGCACGCTGCTTGTAGGAGTGCGCTGCGTGTAGCAATGCTTTCGCATTCCTACACGCAAGCAGTCTCGAGTGCCTCTGCCAAATTTTAGCGTCTGAACAAATTGAAATAATTAAAAAAAAAGGCAAAGTGCTTTGAGGTTCTCATCAATCTTTCTTTTCTTTCTGCCGCTTGATAGGGCTCGACGCCGCATTTATTAAGGTTCGACTCATTTTTAAATTTTTTTAATGCGAAAGAATTATCTGTTTCTTGGAGCGAAACCGGCGTTGTCTCAATAGCAGCGAAACGGCACCTAAATTCTCATGGGCTGCGACGCGTCATGTAGCTCCATAGCAACGGAGTCATCGTTGCTAAGGAGCCAGCTGAACTGCTGGCGGCGCAGCCGGAAGGGGGGACGCGGATGCGCTGCGCCTGACTTTAGGCCTAACGTTAGGCCAATCGTTGCGCTTTGAGGTCTAACGTCGTCAAACGGTACACGCAATTGTTTGACGTGAGGGGGGGGGGGACGCGGGTATGCGCTGGCCTGACGTCAGGCCTAACGTAAAGCTTAACGTTACGCTATGTGGTCTAACGTCATCTACCGGTACCCGCAGCTAGGGCGATGATGATGATGAGAAGACATGTGATTTCAGCACGTCCCGCGCCGAGCTTCGCACTCCCGCCGCTGCCTCACCCAGCGGCGCAGAAGTCACCAGCGAGCCAGGGCGGTCTGCGCGGCGAACCGCCTCACTCCCTGCCGGCGCTGCGGTCGCTTCTGCTGCTCTCGGCGCCAAGAATGCTTTCCCAATCACAACTCATAAGAAATGTTTAAGTGTCCTCGGATTATTTTTTTTTAACAGATTGGTTTTAGATATTAGTTCTATCACTTATATTTCTGATGCCACCTGATTTTAAGACTTGACCCAAAGGGAGAGACCAGTTTTCTGGAAAGTAAATTTGCAATTAAAGGTGAGGAAGGTCAGCGAAAACGTCATTTGAGAACAGTCCGCTATTGTAAGTGAATTGAATGTAGAAAGGTACATTAAAGTTAGAAATAAAAAAGAAAGATTTTTACCATTCATAATGAAACAGTGCGAATTTTACAAGGACAAAGGAAGGAACTGGACAGGACGAGCGCTGACTAACAACTGAAAGGTTTATTATCAGGAAACCACGAAGAAAACATACGAAAACACGATTCTCTAATCACGATGGAAATGAGCATGCGCCTTATAAAATTGGGTGCTATCTGTTACACAATTCTATATGCGTCATCCCCGATCTAAAAATCCGACCTCACTGTCCAGCAAATTCAAGGAAGCCTGAGTCACGCAGGCTGGACTTCCTTTTTTATTCTATGGGCTTCGACAATCTCTCGAGCTTTTTGGCCCCTGTGTTTATACAACACAATGGCCTTGTCTAGTAACGGTGCACAGGCGCAGTCCCTGCAGTGTATACGCCAAGTGGGAGCTGTTCCTGTTAAAGAACTACTGTGTTCCCGCAGGCGAATGTTAAGGCGCCGCCCCGTCTGTCCGATGTAAACCTTCCCGCACGTGAGGGGTATCTGGTATACTACATACTACATCCAAGGTACATGGCACGAACTCAATGCGGTGTTTTATGGCGCACGGCCTCTCCCCCTGTTTCTCTTCCTTGTTCACGCGCTTTTCTACTGCAGAGCAAATACCGCTTGTTACGTGCCCAGAACACCACATCTACCCCGTACTTCGAGGCGGCTCTTTTAAAGCCACGTGACATGTGGTGCGCATAACCTGCTTTCTTTACTTTTTTGTTACATTTCCCCGCGCCTCACCCTTATTGCTTTTCACTATTGCTTTCGCGGCCGAGGCGATTACCGAACCCGGGAAACCGGCTTCTGTTTGTCTCCCGACCTGGGCGGCAAGGCTTTTTCCCACTCTGTGGGAAATTCCCTGTAATGCCGAATTAGAGCGCAGCACTTAAGGAGGAGGAGGAGAGGGCACGGAGGTGAGGGTGTGCCCTTCCTCCCCCTCAGCACCCTACCCTTCTCCTCTCCTGCTACCATACAAGTTAGCAGGAAATTTTCGCTAAATTTCTCGCTATATATTGCGGTACAAATTCCCTGCTAAATTCAATTGGGACATTTTTCCGCTAAATATAGCGGGAAAATGTTTCCGCTAAATTTAGAGGGGAATTTTTTCCGCTTAATTTAGTGGGGAAATTTTCCCGCTAAATTTAGCGGGTAAATTTTCGTACTAAATTTAGGCTCCGTGTGAACGTCACATGTGACGTCACCCTCGTGATATCACGTGCGTCGTCATTATGGGAAACGTCCCATAATGCAACGCGCGGTTACGCCGACGGCGACGGCGACGCCGTCATTTTAAATATTGAAAAGCTTTTCAACCTTAATAGACACGAAAAGAGCGACAGAACTTACTGCGTAAAAAAGGACGGCACACGACAGAGAATACAGCAACACCGGTGAGCCAGGAATGCAAGGCAAGATCCCTTTGTCCATTCCAGCCATGTACAGGTTCTAGACAAAAAAAATGCGATAGCAGTTATGAAACAACAACAACAGGCGTCTATAACCTCTGAACAATCAAATAAGCAACCATGCTACAAGCAAGGTTCAATTTCATTCTCTACATTTGTTTGAAGAATAATTTGCCAGCTCCTCACGCTCGAATAATAATATATTCATTATATGTGTATCGCTTCCGCTCATCTCAGCGCATTGTAAATGCAGCAGCAGCTGCACGAGTTGGTTAGTCAGTACGCGATGCCCTCGGTACTCGAATGCGTTCTTGTTTGTCTCGCGTTATTCTCACAGTAACGGAAGGTTCACATCTACTCGGAAACGACGACCATGGTCGATGCAAAACACTCGTGCTTCTTACAGTATTGATGATACAATTCAAAGGCATTTTTACGGTACCACTTAGTACAGGGAATCAGATTCTTTTAACGAAAGTTTCATTGAATCCGTGAATGTACTCAAAAGTAATATACCGGCCACAGGTCCACTAAACATCACTTCCTACGCTAGCCCCGCAAATTCAGCGTACCTACCAGATATGACTGAAAACGACCTTTTGAGTATTTATTATGCTGTTAATGACAATAAATAAATCACTCGGAATAGATAAAATTAGCATTAGAGATATCCGCTACAATTTTGATCAGCTAAAACAAATTTTGTTTAAAATATTCAATGATATTTTGCAATACTCCAAAAAGTCTGAAAAGACTTCGTGATAAGGCCCTTATATAAGAAGGAGAAACAACATAAATTTGAGAGCTAGAGACCCATATTCATATTACAGATAATGGCTCATATTATTAAGACAATGGGTACAAAAAATATAAATAATTTATGTGCGACTTTTTTTTTTTTTTTAGGAAGCATTACACAATATGGGTTTTGTCAATCGAAAATTAAACTTTTTCCTTCTGATGACTTCGCGGACTGCAGTCACGAAACACTTCACACAAATAAAATAGCTGGCTCTCTTTCTAGACCTATAAAAAGCATCCGATACTATCGGTCACTCTTTATTACATAAAAACCAACACAGTTGATATTTTTTTCCTCTGCAGTCTAATATATTTAAATACGGCGCAGATTGCACGGTACTATAATTACCACATGATAAATATAATGATGATATCACCGTTTTCAAAAAGATATGTTATCGAAATGGTTTGCAGCAAATTTGATATTTGTGGATGTCACAAAAACATCACTTATGTGTTTTCCAAATCCCCATAAACGTGTTGTATCGTCAACAAACATTTCTTTTATTCTACACAGTGCAATAATTGCAAATGTAAACTTCTACCCTACCATAGTGCTGTTAAATATATCGGTATCTATGTGGACGAGTACATTGTAAGAGAGGACGAATTTACAACCAAAAAGCTGCGCGGCATTTCTGCTTATTTATATAAAATAAACAAAGTCAATAATTTGAAGATAAGACTGCTGGTATTTAAGGCTTTAGCGGAGTCTTCATTGCGCTATGGCATTACGCTACATGGTCACTGCTCCCGATACAAAACAAGATAGGTAAGATATTAAGACACACGATCAATAACATTGCATAAGAAACAGCTTATGATGTATTGAAAACTGGACAAAAAATAAAACGTTGGATATTCTGTTTCTTAATAATTTTGGTGAGATATCTCCCAGTTACAAATAATTAATTCGGTAATAGCTTCAAAATCAAAGTTGATAAGGTAAGATATTTGATGCGCACTGAGAGGTTCGCAATTCCCAAAATATAACACTTTGTAGAAATAGAAAAAAACATATATAATTACATTCCTTCTTCACTTAATTAACTGCGGGTGTCGAAATGCATTTGTATTTAATAGGGTCGGCTGGATTTCTTTTTTATTTTATTTTGGGGGGAAAGGGGGGGGGGGGGGAGGTTACAGCCCGCTATCGTCCTTAACCTTGACTCGAGGCCTCACCTCAACCAGCTTCCAGGTGAGGTAGAGCGCCATGCTGGGGCTCGGGTACCAGAACATGGCCAGGCCGGCAAGCAGGCCAGCGGGAAGTGCGTGCCAATCGCTGGCCCCGTCGCCCGTCCATCGTAGCAGACAGCTCACAAGCTGCAAAGCAGACGCCTCTTTGTGTCAGGATGCGTGCGTCGCACTATCATCATCATCGTCGTCGTCGTCATCATCATCATCTGTGTCAGCACTCAAGCCTCCGCTAAGGTGGACAGCCGATCTTCTATGCGCCAGTCCCCGAACTCGAGGAGTTGTGCGTGAAGCTGTCTTATGATTCTCCTGAACTATTAGAGCCAAATTTTGAGACACGTACTTTTGTTTATCCCCGATTTTAATTCGAAAGCATTAACTGTCCCATGGAGCGAGCTGACATCATCAGCCTGAAGCGCGCAAACGGCTCCTAGTTTCCACGATCACCTTCGGTTTCATTGGCTGGCGCGCGTCGACGGGGCTCCCATTGGCCGCTGCGACATGGCCTCCGAGACCCCGAAGCGCGCGCGCGCTAGTACGCGGCAGACGACAAAAGGAACGAACGAGCGGCTTGCACGCTTTTGCATTCACAACTCATAAGAAATGCTTAAGTGTATCTCGAGTTTTTTTTTTTAATATATATATATATATATATAAAAGCTGCTCATAGGTGGCAAGCAGCTCGAGTTGTGGATAAAGTAACTTATCGCCTGTCGATAAATTTGTGAAATGAACAAGGCGCGAGTTTTCTGTCCCCACCCACCCACTCACACAGCTATATTCAAAGGCGCTCGAAATGCGTAGCATTTATTAACAATACTTGGATTTGGGCTAGTTGGTTTGACATTCCGAAGTATACTGCGCTGCGAAATTAAACTTAACACATAAAGACTTAAACTATGAGATGATATGAATGACAGTTAAGAACTTGACGTACTTGTGAAGCGCTTACCATACAACTGTTTATTTTTCGTTTCTTCTTCCTACTTTATACTCTTGTTTTGAAGGATGAAGAGTGCCTACTAATTCACGGTATTGAAAATTAATGTCATTGCGGGCAATTGTAGACACGGTGTTTTAGGGGACAGTTAAATGACGGAGTTTAAAAGACGCGTATGTACCTGAGAAATCGTGGAAAGGACTGGGACGATTAATGTCTTTTCTGTCATTTGTAGATGTTCCATTTCCATCGTAAACCGGAGACACGGAAAAATAAAAAATAAAAAAAAACGGACAAAACAACAACAAGTCTCTCAAACACAGCTTCTAGTTTGAGACTTGTTGTTGTTTGTCCGTTTTTTTTTATTTTTTATTTTTCCGTGTCTCCGGTTTACGATGGAAGTTCTTCACCAGCTCGCCTGTGCTTTTACCCTTTCTTCGTTTTTTTTCTTATTTGTAGGTAGTTTGTATTGGCAGTGTTTGTGTTTATGCTGCTGGCACCCTTGATCAGATGTTTGCCCTGTTGTGCTGCGGGATCTTTTTAACCAGCTCTATTTCTTTTTGTTTTAAAGCTAATGTAGGTTCACTAACGCACGTGCCATGCCTTCCGGAAGCCATGTGAAAAGCTTCCACGGTTTCGCACTTGGTCCTGTCTAGTGATCGATCTAAGATGGTTGTGGTTTCAATGAGAGCTTCGCAGTTGCATCTTGCAAAGTGTGCTGCGAGGTTACTAGATACCTGCAACTGCCCGCAAGCGTATTTTTGCTCTCTTAGTCTCTCACTTATACATCTCCCCGTTTGTCCTATGTGCAATTTTCCACACGTCAGTGGTATCTTGTATACAACCCCTTTAGTGCAGTCAACGAACTTGTGTTTGTGTTTCACCTTACATGATGCTTGACCTCTTGTGTTGCTTTCCAGTTCATTCACCTTCTTGCATAATTTGTTTAGCTTATAAAGGGCGTATAAGGCCACTCTTACTTCTTGTTTTTCTGCGATCTTTTTCATCCTATGCGAAAAATTGTGGATGTATGACAGCACAACCACTGTTTTTTTTATCAACAAAGGTAAAACCAAGGAGAAGAATGTGGACAAAAAACCAGTGGTGCTCATCGCATGTGCGCATCGTCACATTAGCGGCCACCAACTCGCCAAGAGGTGGTCCTAAAAGTTATGCGCATTTAATCCACCGTAACGCAAGCTGTCAACTATTGCATTTAACTAACGTGCACATGTACAGGTTGTTAAATGAATAGTATCTTAAAACCAGCTCTTCGCGCTTTCGTGTCCATGTGCAGGACGTAGCTTTCGTGTCCGTGCGCGGGACGTGACGTGTCATCATGACGTCACACGACAGTGTGACGTCATTGTGTCAAGTGACGTGTCCTGCCGTCACGTCATTTGTCGCCATAACATCATGATACAGCATGTGGTCACGTGACACAGTGACCTAACGTTCACGTTGTCGCGTGGCGTGAGGTCACGTTACCACAAGCTTCCCGGTTGTCACGTGACGTCACGTAAGGCTGTGACGTCATATGACACCAAGACGCCACAGAGGACTTAGGAGTGCTACGCATTTAGAGTGGCTTTGGTATATACCAAAGAGACAGGCAGAATTTGTCTTATGGTGCGTATAGCCACAGCTTGTTTCAGCTGAACTTGATAAACGGCCAAAGCTACGTCCCCAGCCAGCCAATCAGGGCGTCGGATTGAGTCGAGTGACAAAGTGTCGTCGGAGGGAATGAACTGCTTCCGCTATCCCTCTGCCAAGTTAGGCTGAATCAGAGAGCAGACACACCATTGAGGAGAAGCATGCATTGTTCGCACTGTGATGTGAGACAATATAGTCAGGCGAGGCGGGGGACTATACCGGCTAGTGATAAATCCAGGGGGAACCGACCATGACTCCATGAGTAGATTCTCCTCAACTAATCACCTTTAGATTCCTTGTGCTTCTGCAGCTCGCATCGTCCTCGTAGCTTCACTCGAGAAACCCTACTATTTTCTGCATAAACTTTTGGACGAGCTCCAGCTTCATTACGTCTGAGTCTCTCTGAATAAATAGGAATGGCATGTTTTTGCAAATAGATCCTACGTCATAGCCAGCATTGAATAACGTTAAACAAGAAGCAAAGACAAACATATAACTTATTTCATCGCAGTACTTTCTTTATTCCGAGTAATTGTATTTTTTATTACTGGAAATAAAAAAAGTAATTGACTTGATTACTCACTTACTAGAGATTCAAAGTAACTTAGTTACTTCAAATGGCCGCTGACTGTTTTATTATTTATTGTTTAGTGGAAGTTATCTCAGTGTCATTTGCATTGACAAGTAACAAATTTAATACGTGCAATAGAGAGCTTCATAAATTCACAAGCTGGTGTTTCTTTTCTTCTCTTGATATGATGATATTGGGATTTTGTGTGCACGTCACTGGGGGAGAGACGAATTAAAAATTTTATGTCTAATCCGTAAGCTCAGTAAAAGTATAAAATACTGAGGGTTAGGAAGAGGTCTTGATGATTATAGAAAATAATCATAAACAAGTTCTAATATCGCCAGAAAAGGGTATATATTACAAGCAATTTGGTCACTTATGATAGTAGTACTCCAATAGAGGTCCGCGGAATATATTGGGCTCCGCAAAGGCATCCTAGGGGTTCGCGAAGCCCGGACTCACCAGTCGAAGCCCGGTAATAAAAATTTTGTTTTTCAAATTGAGAAGAAACGTTCCAATTTCGGGGTGAGCTTTCTTGTGTGTGTGTCAACCAGAGAAGTGTATTTCACACTTGTCCTTAGTTATTCGCGACTCCAGCGACCTATAGGGGGCGCCACCACCAAACAAACATGGCGGCTGAGTCCAGGTCGCGTCGGCTCAGCCGGGCCGCCTGAATGGGTGGCGCATTCAATTTAACAATTATTCTTTTGTTGAATGCCCATTTTTATGGGTATTTGAACTGAGACAGTTAAGTTTAGCCGGAGCGCATAAACTTGCCGAGCATAGTTTTGTTTTGCCGGTGTTTTTTGTTCTTTTCATGTCAAACTTTCGCCTCGGAGACTTCGATCAAAACCGAAACTATGGGCTCCGGAGAAACGGTAACTCTAATTAGTTTTGATCATCTAAGGAAAGCGGCGAGGGCTACAAAATTGTTCCACCGAGAGTAATTTTTAGCTAACTCGCATGCCTCGATCATGCGACTTACCTGTCCGCGAAATTGAGCTTTTGTGCCTGTCCGCGTTTCAAGAAACAGCTGCAGTCGTGTGCTCGGTCAAGAACACAGGCTGCAGGAAAATTACGAAAATTAAGCAAGCGCTTCTTGAACCAAGGAGCATGTCAACTCGCTGGCACTTCACTAAGCAGCTGATACTCGTATTTCAATTCAGGTTTTAGTAGCAATCGAGAAGTCATTTTGATGAATATGCGGTTATGTATTATATTACGTACTATGGTCCCACTAAAGCGATATTAGTATGTTCTTCGGGTTGAAATATGAACTTAGTTGACTAACTATTAGGGTGAACTGCTGAATAAAAGTATCTTTGACAGACAGAGAGATACTACTTAAACTTAGCCAATTGGTTCTAGCCGGTAGAACGGAGACGAATGCGGACAAGCTGAGGAGAGTCTTCATCAGAGATTCACTCAGACCTCTCTGAATTGAACTTGACTTCGAATCCTGAACGGATAAAATTAGTATTTTTTGTGGCCGGTCAACCTGAGCAATGTAGACGTATATTGCTGCTGGATTCGACGGGGGTTATAATATAAGTATTGGAGGCGCGATAGATCCTAATGACGAGACAGCTTCAATCTTTGCGAGACGCGTCCCCCACCTTTTGAAAGCAGATAATTTCCCTCATTAATCATATGGAGCGAGCAGGTTTTCTGAATCAAGTAATTGCGAAATTAGGCCAACTCCTTCAATGTGGTCTTTTTCGGCGAGAAGCCGCCAAGATGAATAGCCAACGCACCGGCCGGCGTTAGTGGCTCAAATTAACTTGAAGCTAATCGAGTACAACCAAACTCAAGGAAAGCAGCTATCGAACCTTCCCTTTCACTTGACTGCAACATTGGTGTCCCCTCCAGTGAAGCACTTCGTCTGTCGAACTCAGTCTACTGTTCTACATCCTTATAAAGAAACCGTTTATCAGTTACCAAGCAGTCGTCACTTTGATTGTGATTAGAGACAGACGAGAAATCAAAACGTTTTTCCGTGATTCCTCCCCATCCAAAAAATTGAAAGCACGCGATCGTGTGTTGTGGAACAAACGGGCTTTCAAACACGTGATGGAAAGAAACAATCTACTGAGGCTTCACCACACTAATGAACACTCAGGCAAACTTAAGAAATTTTCGGACCTTCGTCAAATTACATTGCTCGCCGCCGCGCCGACAGCACGCGTCCGCGAAAGCCATCAGAGACCCGGCGGGGCGCGGAGCGACCTGGACCGGCTGGTTCCCGGTTTTCCCGCTTGGCGGCGTCCGTTTTGCTGGAGTCGCGAATATCAGTTTATTAAATCATTATTATAATTACACTTTACCTTTCCATTCCCCTTTCCAAAAACAGGGTCCTCCATCATCTCCGCCGATCCGCAAGGGGTCCACGAAACATAAATTGTTGAGAACCACTGACTTATAACATGTAACAGATTTCGTGCAGGTCTGGTCGTTGTTTTCATGATGCCCGCTTGGAATGTTATATACACCCGGTATTGATAGGCTTAACAATATATTAACCGTATATTTAAAAAAAACGTTCGCACCAGAAAGTAGAATGTGCACGCTCCAAACACACATTCCCCGTCTGCGATCTCCACAACCAACCACGCGTATGTTGTGTTTCATAAATTGGGCAAAGTCATAGCACAAACTCTGATAATGGCACCTGTCAGAAGCCTTTTATTGAGACGTAGTAAAATTCTCCCTACCGAGTTGCAGCCGTCCTTGTAAGGACAGACATATACTCCGTTTAGTCCTTACGATAGGCAGGAACAGACGCTACGGGCCATCCTTGCCAATCCAAGGCTGGGACGTATCTTGGAACTACAACACACTCCGCGCAACGCCGCGCCTCTCCCGAAGGTCACGCGAAAATCACAGTGCACTGGATTAGCGTCGATGGCACGTAACGTCTTCTGCGCTGCATTATAAAGTGAAACAGACTACAGTTGTCAGCACCGTGACCACGACTCCCAGACTTGTTCTCGTAGGCACGTACCCTGTAGATTCCTCCGAAGGAGCCCAGGAAGACGCCGAGCCAAAGGTTGTCCGCCCTGTACAGGGCCCGGTACAGGAAGCTGGGGTCGCTCAGGATTCGCTTTCGCATTGCCACTAGCCGAAACAGGATGCGGACGCCGCAGCCGACCAGGAAAGGCCGCACGAAGCCCTGGGCAGGCAGAGTACCGTGACATCGGGCTATTCGGAGAGCAAGTTCGTCTGCTTCTTGCTCAGCGGTTGCTGTGACGTCAGAAGGACTCCTAGTTCTGATTGGCTTTGATTGAAAGGACAGTAGGTAGACCTTAATGCTAGATGCCTCGAGGTCTACCCACTATTTTTCTTTCTCAATCAGCCAATCAGAGCTCGGCGTTCTGACGTCATCGCGACCCCTATGCAAGAAGCAGACGAACTTGCGCTCCGCATACTCCTACCGCAGCCGACGCGATGATCCGGTGGACCCAACCAAGCCGCGCCGAAAGTGCATCGTCAAGGCGCTTGTCCAGTGCTGCCACTAACGCGTTACTATTTTTGGTAACGTAGACAAGGTACTCGTTACCGTTCCAAAAACAGTAGCGTATAACGAACTTGCGTTACATATTTCGAGCAACGAGTGACGTGGTTACGTTACTTGTTACGCTTTCCCGAGACTTCCGAACAAAATTACCCTTTAATATTTCTTTTCGCATTTCCTGGCGCCTGGTCATACGAGTCGTTGCGCTCATCCCACGTGCCTTTAAAATTTTACCAAATTTGAAGGTAGCTTTTGACGCTCTGTTAAAACTGTCGAACGTTTTAATTCATAAATAAAAAAAAAGAACACAAGAGTAACGTGTGTTATTTTTTTTTCACTAACAGTGACGGTAAGACGTTACTTTTATTTTGAAGTAACGTAGGCCGGTAACACGCTCCTTTCATTTGCAAGTAAGGCTAACGTAATTCGTTACTTTGTTTCTCCCGTAACACCTCCAGCACTGCATGCGCTTATCGCGTTTTTTGCTTTTACTGTCTCCAACAAAACAAATCACACACAGCGAATACGCCGCGATCCTGCGTTGTTTCCTGTGCGCGAAATCTGTTGCTTCCAGTTTGGTGTGTACGAGTGGCATCCGACAACTTCGGATATCGAGAGCAATAGCCTCCCACTCAGGTAACGCACACATTTCGTCGACGGCTTCACCGGCCCGCAACCGGGCGAAGACATGGTTACAGTTGTAACGTCTCAATTTCTCGGCATGTTATAATACAACTGCGTTGCGACAAATATACGATACGAGCAGATGTTTGAGAGTCGTTCGAAAGTGTAGGCGCATGTTAAGGAATATTGCTTGCACTTTTGACGACTAAACCAGAAAGTATGTTCGAAACACGTCGACGCCTCATAGGGGAATTTCCACTATTCCCGTTTTTTGTTGTGTGTGTGTTTTGTGTAAATTATAATCATAGGTTGATGCACATCAACGGCACCGCGTTACCAGCAGTGTACACAAAGCAGCCAAATTGATCTTAAACAACGGACATACAAGGTGCCATAGTTTCGAAACCCCACGGTAGTAAAACAGATCTTGCTAAAAACTAACTGAACAAACGCTATCCGTATTTAGCCAAAGACCTGGACAAATTACGTGCGCAACCAAAGACAGCGAATGAGTTAGCTCAGACACACGAGGGAAACGATGGCCGAGGCTACCGCACGACAAGGTGGACACATGAGCAAGCGTCGTGAGTACGTGCACTAGCCTTGACAACTCTTTACTTTCGCACTCTCAGGTAAAATCTGTACTCAGTTTGTTTAACACAAGTCGGCCAGGTAAAATCAACCCAGCGAGAAGAGACCGCAGAGAAGACGGAGATAAACACGTGCTGGTCCTTGCCCGTCTGCGTCCCTAGGTGTCTCTTTTTTGTAGTAATTATTGCAACGGTCCTAAATAGAGTGTCAGTTAGAAAAAGTGAGCTGAAAAACCAGGAGCTTCAGGGGGCTCTTGCACCAGAGCGTGCCCTTCGCATTTTATTTTCCTAACGCTACGTTAAATCTTATCACTCCCTGAACAAGGACGGCAAGGTGTTTCTTTTCGATGTTCTGCCTTTAACGCGAGCTCGTTGCCTTCCACCACGCTTTGGCTGCGCGTGCACACTCGAAGGCACCGACATCTTATCGAAGGTAGGAAGCTCGCACCAGAGACGCGACAGCTATACATGACTACACATGACCTGCACTGACGTCCCAAGAGCATCCATTGTGACCGCCTTGCTGCGGAGAGCGTGCGGCGTAAATTTTATACCATCGAATGCGATTTTACCGGCAAAAAGTAGGAATAACCGCCAGCATGGTGCGATGTCGTTACGTGCAAACCCATGCATAGCCACAGCCGCCTCTATACTCACAATGCCTAGCAGTTCGACGACGGAGCCATAGAGTGCCCGGTCGCAGATTTGGAGCGCGAAGACCTGTTAGCACAGAGCATCAAAGAGTTATTTCTCAAGGAACCTGGACGTCAGCGCACAGCTTTTGAAGTGGCGAGGACCCGAAGCACAACTGTTCGCTCGGAAGAAGCGCGTTTCGGCGTCTCGCCGCGGCGGGGCGCCAGACATGTGGCTCTGCTCTCGTCTCTTGTCTGCCCCTCCACCTTTTTTATTTCGGCGGCCGCTTCTCGTTGCGATCTGCCAGGCTTTGCCAGTGAATAGGAGGCTACGGTACAGCACACTTGAACGTGAGTAAGCAAAAATCCGAATGCCGCGTTGATGCTCACGTGTGCCACATGCGCGAGGCAACCCCTCTTGTGCCCGCAAGACCAGTGGCGCGAGTTGAGTCCCAGGGCGGCCAGCTGCTTCTGCGTCCAGGAGCTCTGGTCGTCCAGGACCTGCGAGGCGTACGCCCAGGCCGCCTGAAGCTCCTGCGTCGCGGGGCCCGCGTTGTCCGACGCGTCCACCGACGAAGGCGGGGTGGGAGAGCCCAGGGGACTAGGGCTCGACGATCCCTTTACGAACTCTTCCTTGCCCACAATAAATCTGTGAGGAGAGCGCGGAGACACGGTAAATGCTGAAGATAGCGCTGTCTGTACATAAACAGGGCTATCCAATCATAAAAAAAACATATTTGAACTTGTTATGTCAAACAAACTGTAAAAGACACATCCTGCACATTACTGGATAGGTAAGGTTCAAGGTTCAAAGTTCTATAATCCTTGAGAATCTTTTTACTCGACATGAGCACCATGTGTCGCGCGACAAATATAAAAACGGTAGTTCATTACTTTCCTGATACGAATCAACTGGCCTCAATTCACAGCTTTAATTAATCGATGTTTCAGATCTTGAAGAGTGACAGGCATAGGTGGCCGGGCATTTAAAATTAAACGTCCCTCTATCCAGTGATACGTGGGATGTTTTTCTGTCTTTTACAAATTTTATCAAATAAAAACTTAGAAATCTGCTTTTTTAAATAGCCTTGTCTAGGGTGTTTTATCAACGACTGAAGGTAATTTAAGAAAAGGACACTTAGACAAAAAAAAAAGGTTTAATCGGTGAACGTCGGAGTAAGATGAAAAGTGGTAATAGGAAATCTAATTGCTTAGAACTAAAAAATCATTATTAAAGTATCCACGTTATTTGGCACAAGACTTAAATTAGTTATGTGTTTCTCTTCATCCAAATACGCTACGACAGATTTTAAAATTCAGAAGAGCAAATGTGCTGTAAATATGATCATTCTTTTTTGTTCGCACTGTAACCGTAATGTTTGGGAAACCGAGGTTGGGGAAATCCGAGGTTTGAGGAATCTTTGAATTGATAATAAAACAATAAATAATTCGAAAGCTAACTAAATTTTCCTTCCACTATTTAATGGTGAAGTTAGGCTGTCTAGAACCTGCCGATAACGTTAGCCTAAATAATCATTGCTTCATATAAAGTGCCTTTTTAAAATTTATTTCAGTCGTTATAATAAGCCGGCATCCCCATTATCAGATCTGAGGGTTCGTTTTTTCTATGCTCGGTTTGTGCATTGGAAGGGGCATCGTCGTGATTTCGTGGATCGCATCTGTGCAATGCGCTTAAGTTTGTTTTAATTATTCCTATATTCGGGGGTAGCGTCCATTGGCGATTCAGAAAAAGCAAAGACTGAGTGCGAGCTTTGATCGGCACTTTATAGGCAACCTGCAATGCTGTTCTGTTTGGCGCTGTCTAGAGACTGAAACGTTGGCAAGAAACGTTGGGTATGCCTGGGAGTGGCGGCTGCATCGTTCAAAAAGCGGTGGCGCCGCTTAGCCTAGTGTCTGCAGCAAGAAAATACTGGGTATAGGCCAGGAAACCGTGATCGCATAACATGCCAGTACGGTGAAAGCTGCGGCCCTGGCGGGCCAATCGGAACGTGACTGCTTCTCACCGGAGTGCGCTTCTACTGCAAAGAAGTATCAGGCTTTCCACTGCGTCATCCTCCAATATGTACTATCGTGGACACTGTTAGCAATAACACCGCAGCGGCGGCCGTCCCGTACCCCCAGCGCCTCATACCAGGCGCCGTCCAAAACCTCGCGCATGCGCCGTGTGGCGGACTCGCTCTTCCCGCCTGCGAGCACACCCTCGCTTTGTCGTCTGCTAGGCACAGAGCAGACGACGCCACAGCGCTTGCCCATTTTCCCTGAACACGGTTCAGCAAACAACCGCGTAAGAGGATGCCCACGGTTGATTTCCTGACTCCGCTAGCTAAGCATAATCATCGCCCCTAATTGTAATATCACGGTAGACAATTTTTTTTTCTTTTTTTATGGGTCAAACTTGCAGTTATAATCAGTTTCACTTTAAATCTAAGCTCAGCGGACGTTACGAGACGATAGGGCCAACCAAAAGCGACAAAAGCTCACTTTTTGCACCTTATTGTGTACCCCGGTGATGCACTCCGTGACATTGCACCTTTGCGCTATTTGATTGGCTATGTCGTTTTGCAGCGTACGCTGCATTCGGACTTTAGGTGAAACGGAGTATAAGTCGATTTCTGTATCACACCTGCTGCGCTCATACTGGTTTGCGAGCGCATATTGTGAAAGATGCATTGCGAAATCCTGTTTCTGAAAAAGCAAAAAAAAAAAAATATACAACAAAAACGCAGACAGGGTTAATGCCCAATGACTCTGCAATCTGCCCCAATCAAAATCGCCGGTTTAAAATGAGTTTAAGACCAGTTCGCTAGGGCCAGGGTACCAGACGAGCAGCACTGTGGCATCGCCTGCTCTGTGCCTAGCAGACGACAAAGCGAGGGTGTGCTCGCAAACGGGAAGAGCGAGTCCGCCACACGGCGCATGCGCGGAGTTTCGGACGGCGCCTGCTATGAGGCGCTGGGGGTACGGCACGGCTAGAGTTCCTGTATACACTCCGTGCGGGAACTATAGGGGGCGCTTTGAAAAACGCGCGCAGCGCCGCTAGCGGAGGAGCTGGCGTTCGACAGTGAGGCGCGCTCAGCAGCCTGCGGCGCCTTTTCGCATGCCAAGCTGTGGCGGCGGAAGCGCGCACGGACCAAACTTTTGCTTTTGAAGCCGTATCGGCTTAAAAAGCAAAAGTTAAACCTAACACGGGCATCTCGCTGTTCTCCACTTCTTATATATTGAGTTTGGGTCGTTCTTAGGAGTAATTTCCCTAGTTGCGGCCGAAAAAGGAGTTAGAGCAATTTTCCGAAAAGCAGGACGGCCGCCACCATAATTGCTTTGACTAGCAAATTTATTTCGCTCGTCGCTGTAAACGTAGGACTGCTGGAACAATAATATTTGCAGGCGAGTGAGATGTTCACTAAGTTTGTGCACGAAATGTGCCAAGTTTCATTAAAACAGCTGATGAGAAAGTTAGGTTTCTAACGAATAAAGAAATAAATCTGTACGGGATATCCAATATTGGACCCAAATTGTTGTGTTATAGCAGGCTGTGCAAAGTGCAGATTTGGGCACGCAGGTGCTTCGACTTGACAGTAACATGACACAGCACTTATTGTACAAAAAAAGGGGGCATAGGGAAACCAGGTGAACATTCGGTTTGGTCGGCGTAACTCAATGGGAACCGGTTTTGACCATGAAAAGGCTGTCAAGAGAATACCACTGGTCGTGGGAGGTGGAGAATTTAGAGGTAGGAAGGGACTAGTAGACTGGATTTCCAATGGAAACCACTTTACGAAAGGTGGTTACAAAGCCGAGAAAACAAAGTTGTCGGCCAATACACGGTTTGGCCGTCAAGGGCTTTTGCGGTCAGCTGTTGTGTAATAACCCGCTGTGCGAGGTGCTGATTTTCGGCGCACAGGTACTTTGACATGACTGTCACTTGACACAACACTTACTGCACCAAAAATTGTTGGCATAGCGAAACCAGGTGGAAATTTTGTTTGGGCGGCGTAACTAAATGGGAACTGGCTTTGATCGTCAAAGGCTGTCAAGATAATACCACTCATCGTGGGAGGTGCACACTTTACAGGTAGGAAGGGACCAGCGGACGGTACTTCCAGTTCGAACCACTTTGCAATAGGTGGCTCTAAAGCCGGGAAAAAAAATGTTGTCGACAGAACTCGGGGTGTCAGCGTTTCCACATCCAAAAGGAGGCTGATCAAGAAAGAAAGCTCACCACATAAACTTCCATACTCAAACATCAATTCTTTAGTTATTTCGAGTTTCATTGTTGTTTTCTTTAGATTTATATTTGTCACTTTTTTACCGTTCGAATCTTTCTTCGTGAAGTAGAGATTGCGTGCCATACTTGTCCGAAAATATCGACACGTACGATGGGGACGAAACTTCTTTGGAGGGCATTCCTCCATCGAAATTGGCACAGCATACCCGTGAGTGCGGGATGACGTTTCAGTTCGCCCTATCGGCGCTGACACATGTAGGCGTTACTGGTACGAAAACAAACGCAGAGCGCAAAGCGGCAGTGTAGTATATAGGGCCGCCCACACTAGCGAGAAAACGCGCGTGGCACGCCGATCGCGGCAAGTAACAAAATGTCACCGAAGCACAGTCAGCGCCACGAGCGCGTGCAGAGACACGCCCTTTATCTTCCCGCTTAACCGATTTATCGGCGCGCCGGGCGCGTTTTCTCGCTAGTGTGGGCGGCCCTTAAGTCAGCCGTGCCGACACAGTGGCAGACGTGATCGGGAGACCAAATTTCTCGCGTCGTACGGCACGGCTCCATCGTTGTCGCTGTCCCACAAAACATCGGCGAGGTGAAAAACTGTGAAACTTTGTCCGCACGAGATACGACGCATAACTATTGAAGCACTTAATGGCGCAGCACATGCAGGCAGCACTTCATGCCGTGAACCCAGCGCAACCGCACCGCTCCGACTTCAATGCGCACCAACCAACGCGGCGAGGTTTCGGTTTGGTTTTCTCTGGGGTTCTCACTGCCTACTTTCAGTACCGGCCGCGCGGCGGCGCGCCAGTCGCGTCGCACGGAGTGTATAGCTAGCTACCTACGGTAGCAGAGTTGCGCATTCAGCCTCGGCGCGTGGCCGTAGCGCCGGCTTTCCCGCACGAGCTGGTTGCTTTGCTCCTCACGTGACTAAATTTGGCGAATAGCGGCGCCGCGCGCGCCGCCGCGCATGGAAAACAGGAGAGGAGGAAAGGAGGCGGAAAGCAGGGAAACATACGCCGGGGCAAGAGAAACGTCGGCGGAGCGACCGTAAAGGTGGCTTTCTTGCACGCCAACGGATGCTTTGCTCCTCACGTGATGGATCTCGGCGAATAGCGGCGTGGCTGGCGCGGGAAAACAAATGCGCAACTCTGGCTCCCGTAGGGAGCCTATACAGGAACTCTAGGCACGGCCACCGCTGCGGTGTAATAGCTAACAGAGTCCACGATAGTACGCGTGTCGCTCGTATACACATAGAAGCCGTCGGCACGCATTGTGGGACTTTTCGTTCACCCTTTGCCAAGTTACAACGAGACAGGGTGTAACCGTGGGCTCTCACCCTGCTGGCGCCACCTGGCTGGTGCCGGCTGGCTATAGGTCCGTGAGGGAGAAAGAGGCATAGAGGCAAAAGCTGGGTGTTGGATAAACTTTTGTGGCCGTTGAGTAACCAAACTATTCCATGTCCCAACGACCACACTTGCAATGAGGTTCGCGGAAGATTGCGAGCACTTCATCGCCATTTTAATTAGATATTTGTTTTTTCCTCAATCGACCACAGCAAACATCCACATTGTGTGATTCAACACTTATGGTGAATTCGGGTGGTCGCCTCTCTCCTCTGACCCTGATTCAGCAGAGCGCCCCCTCCTCGGCGCCAGAGCTACTCGGGATCCTTTTCAGCCGATCACAACTGCTAGGTTCAGAGCGCTCTGACATTCTCAGACCAGTCACGGAAGTAAAACTTATTAATTTTAATAATGCATTAAAAAAATAATTAAAGCGTACGGTGGATGAGTGAGCAAAATTTACGCTCGCAACGTGATGAAATAACGATTTTGACGTAAATTGTTTTACGCATCGGCAGGCAAAGTAAAAAAAAAACCAGCACTATACGAATTGATTTTTGCAGAACAGAACGAAAGCCAATGCTTGGAAAGAGTTGTCAACTCATTGCGTTTTCGACAGTGAACGCGCTGCGATAGCGGTCATGCGTACGGCAGAGCAGGCAAATATAAAATAGTTAATAAACCGTATTTTTCACACGGCGAAATATTGTGCAAGCAGGATATAACACATATCGCCATGTGACACAAATGGCTGTGCATTAGATTCGACATTCCCTTTATTTTACAACACAAACCTTTGAACGCACTTCTACCAAACCTGAAAATTTCTTGAAGCGACCACAAAACCCGGTAAAACAGCGGCGAGCTCTGCGAGCTGTTTCTTAGTCGGTTAGGCTTAGCGAAATCACCGCCACGAGATTTATGATCTCGTAAAAGCAAGGGGGAATACTTCACACGTCAACTTTTCCTGTTACGGTCACAAACAAATGTCGTCCCGTCCGTTGTAAACCTCGCACCGTCGAATGCACAAGCACTTTGTAGAACCGCATATCAATCGCCGTCTCGCCGGACCCCGCACACCACCACAGACCACTGCCGGCCATCGTCAACAAAACCGCGTGATCACCGTCCAAGTACCACGTGACGCCTGCGCCGCTCCGCACTACGACGGCTACAGACGGAGTGCCAGGGAGCGCTCTGAGAGGGAGAGGCTGTCCTCGGAATGAACCTGCCGATCAGGCCACAGCACTCTCTTTCCACCCCCCCGATTTCACGCGCTCTGGAAAGAGCGCTCGAGAGCGCGCAGAAAGAACCACGTGAATTCGCCAATATTGTCCAGGGATGTACAATAAATTGCTACAGTAGTTTGAGTGACGAAAACGAAGTCCGGACGGCGCTGCCCGTCTTCGATAAAAAATAAGACTACGAGATAGCCGCTAAACTTACTGGAAGGCCTTGCTGACCGGGTCGTTCAAGTAACCACTGCGCCTGGGAAAAGAAAGTGAAAAAGATAAATACAACGGACTCGCCCTTCTTTGAGAACAACCATAAGAGCCGGACCTTGAAAACTATATCTTTACCTGATAAGATACATGAAGAGTGCAGTCGTGACGCTGAACAAGATCACCTGCGGAGCCAACGATAAAGGAAATCACTGATAAACCCCATTTGACGTGCTTTAAAGATCCCTGATTGGTGGCCGAACGTATACGTTCTTGGGTTGTCGACACACCATGTTTGCTCACTGTCGGGCAGAATGAAACCACATAGAAAATACGAAGGAAACCTTAGCACGGAATCATTGAAATTTATGAAGTTGCATACATCAGTGACTTCTGAGAACCTATATACTATTCAACAATCAAGAAAAAAAAAGTCAGTGTCTCGCGGGTGCTAAGTATGGTTGAATGGAGATCAGTTAACCGATGAACTTTTCCCCAAATCCTGAAACCCATGAGTTCTTAAACAACATCTATGAGGCTTGTATGACGCTCCTGTGGAAATAGGGATTCCCCCTTCTCTCTTTACGACAACCGTTATCAGGGCAAGTGTGCAACGCACGATGCTTTTTTTTCAAAACAAAAATGTCAGGTACGGTATAGCTTTTGTGAGACTGTGCTTTGTAAAAGGGTATTTAGTAGAACCTTGACCGTGACAGGCTTATTGAGCCACTAATTAATATCGTAGTAATAATGGGAAGAAGAAGAAATTCCCGGTTTCTTGCCGTGTCTTGCAAATTAACTGAGGCAATATCCGGGGCGCTGTGCACCCTCATGAAAATTACAGACGTTTCCACTGCACGCACGCCTGCATTCTCCACCACCATTCTAACTGTATTAGTGTACAAGGCACATTATATGCTTACGAGCACTAAATTGTGCCACCTAGTCAGGACGCGCGACACTGTCAAAATCTTGGCCAGACACCATATCCAGCACAATGTGATTCTTTGTGGGGTCTTCGTGTAATCGTTATACATCTAGAGTTAGCATTTACTGCTATAAAATACTTTAGCCATGAGGTCTAACTACAGTGCATGTTTGCATTAACATCCACTGCTAAAGGAAGCAGACTATCACGTGACGTCCTAATCTCAGGTGGTGATCCCCATAACTACACAATGACACATGACGTCACATGACGTGAGGTCTTGCATAAAACACCCACGGAGACCTGCTGCAATACCTCGTCAAGAGGGCGTTCCAGTAGATCCTTCCTACACCTCCTATATTGATACCGACACTCCCCCGACCCCTTTACGCATGCATCTTATTGTCTTGGGGTATTATTATCGGAGGTATTGAAACGATCTATTAAAATTCCCTAATAACGGCTTTCGTTGTAAAACGGTCCGTTTCGAAAGAGGAGCGCAACCTCCATATTGTTCCGGAGAGAGGGAGGCAGTGTAGAAGGCCAACAAAGGGAGACGGGCGGACTGGATGTTAACCATCTCAGCTGGGGCGTGATGCAAGGACGCGGAAACAATGCGAATGTGAAAGGATATCTGACCTCTCCATGCTTCACGGGCTGCACCTCGTTCCGGGACACCTTCATCCGGAATATCGTCTCGGAAGCCTGCGGAGAATTCGCAACGTGGTTCACGCATGAATAGTGCCCGTTAGGCGCCATAGCCCTAACGTAGTAGAGCTACGCGAAGCGAAGCGCATGTGCAGTTGTGCACACGTCGTCCTAAGGACAACGCGGTGTTCCCGCTCCTGTAAGTTTTGGTGCGGTTGAGCGTCAATGCTACTGCGCGATGAACGTTACGGGCGTCAGGTTTGCAATTATTACACTCGGCAAATTGTCTATCTACATCAAACACTGCGATGACAAAGAAAAACAAAAATAGGAGAGCTCGAACCACAAACGGACAGGCCGAAGAAGTGGACAGACAGAGCGCTGTATGTCAAGTCCTTTCACTCGTACATTTATGCTTTCCGCTGATGTGCTCGTTCTAATGCACTACCGATTTTACGAAGTTCGTGCCTTGCCGCAATGGAAACACCAGACGCGATTAGGCAGGTTAACTTCCGGCTGTCTAAACCTTCCAAGGCTGGTGAGCTGGGCTAGTTGGTACGAAGAAGTGTGGATCTTTGGTGTCTCGCGCTTGTGTGTCTTGCATGTTGCTTTCCTTTGTCCTTGTCCTTTGTGCGCTGTTATGTTCCACATAAACCTTCGAACATTGACTTTTACTTCTTTGATTTTTTTTTCTTTCTTTCTTTCTTATTTTGACATTCTGATAAACCTTTGGGACGCAGTCAGAGTGCTTTTACTTCAGACAAAAAGACACGGAGTTTCTCTGCAGACATGAGAGAAATATCGGCGGACACGGCTCAAGCATGTTCGGAGCATGTTTTCTTCGTATACGTGTGCATGCTTCGGCCATGTCGGCGGACAACGTTTGTCTGACCAATGTGACCGTCCATACAAGGAAGAGACACGCCTCACACGCTGTCTGCAGACGGTCTTTCGTATGATGCATTAAAGTGAGTGAAAGCGATGTTTATTATATTTTTTTTTAAATAGACTTCGTTGCTTATGCACTCAGTGTGTACATGTCACTGTCGATAGGGAAGGGGATTGGGTGAAAAAGAAAGGATGCATTAGAAATGTAATCGGAGCTTCAGACGTGTTATCATCCCTTCCCTCCTCCTTGAATTCTCTCTTGGCCGCGTTAACGGACCAGGGTAAAGTTAACCAATATTTTCCCGTAATGACCTCGTTACATCAGCACAGCAAAGATTATTTTGCTATGCAACAACATAAGTTTCTTTTTTTTGTGTGTGTTTATTTGCGGGTCGAGAAAATTTTTTTGCAGCAGTATACCGCGTGTTCAAAAGAAGTAACTAGTCGTCCGTTGTCTATACAGCGGGAGGTTAGTTTACCAGAAACGTGGTGACATTGTTACCCACTGTAGATGAGCAATTTAACCAGTGCGGTGAAACCGCTAGCCTGGGGTCTTTAACGTGTGTCTCGCGGTAGTGATACACAACCGCACACCGGTACAATGCTCGTTCAGATCGAGACGGGCAAATGTAAAAATTAAACCGTGTTAAAAAAAAAATGTTTTTGTGGTGCCAGTTGGTGACGCTAAAGCGTAAAATAAATAATAAAAAAGATGACAAATAAGGCGCATGTTTCAAACGACTCCGAGCAGTGTTTGTGTTCGACGGATTACTGCAAAAAGTCTGGTACAAAAAAACGGAAGAAAAAAAAAGACGTGTTTGATGTTCATATAAGAAAAAAAATGAAGACGCAAAAAGTATACAGTAAGAAACGTGACATACACCAAATGTGCAAGAAATGATGACTGCCTACTTACAACATTGCACACATAGATGGCCAATGCTTGTCTCCTGCAATAAACGTAAAGTTAGACGCAACGTGTATTATTTTTTGCTATCTATTATTTTATGCCCACATACCAGTTAATCCAGAATAGAATCAAGCGCCTTGTTAATCATTCACAAATTGTCAATTGCTAACTACAGTTGCTGTATACCAAGTACCAAACGTATAATATTTGCCATGAAAGAAGACACCTGACGCACTTTCTTTGCTGCTAAAACGTCGCGTGTTCCGCCCGAGAACATAAAATTAAAGTGCATGTTCTCTCCAGAATGCCACGTGCTCTACGTACCTTACCAACAATTATGTTCTGGAATCTGTATCCAGTTACAAGTAGCTCGGACTTATTTCCTTCCTGTATGATTCACGTTAAATAGGTTATAAAAAGCGCTAAAGTATGTCGGGCGACCGTCGGGAAGTGTAGTTTGTTTTCCTACATGTACATCTAAATCCACCTAAAAAATCGGGTCTCAGTAAACTTGCATATACATAACCCTTCAGAAGCAATTTAAAATAAGAATTCACGTCTAACGTTACAGAACATCGTCGCACATCCAATGTAATGCCAAAAGCGACAAATTCTTCCGCTTATGTTCGTCTCACGAAGTTGATTTTTCAAACATTGAGGCAACAGTTGTTCTAATGGTCATTTTAGAGCAGTTTTGAATATATTTTTTTTTATTTAAAATGAAGTTAACTACGCTGGGGAAGTGGCGCACTGGAACATTGTGCTCCATTGCCTCACGTACGGCCCCTCCCTCCAATATATGTAAGCTGCATTGAACCACGAACAGGACGTCTCCTGTCATTTGCAACAAATCGCCCGTCTTCGGATCAATATAGTGCGCACATTCAGTTTCATGTATAGGGGTCCTCCAGGGTACGACTCTCCATTTAGTCCCTCGAACGAACGGTACATTTCTACCCACTTTGAATCACCTGATGGATGGATGGTAATGGCTATACCCTTTGTAACGGGCGGCAGCTTGCGCCAACTAGCCTAACATTTCGTCATCCCTTCTTTTTTTTCTTTGTATGAATTTTGTTATAACAGACCCCCCTCTCTTTTAATTTGAATTTATTGCTTATTTGTATCTGTATTTTTTTTATCCTTCCCTAGATCTCTTCCACCAACCTTCCAACCTCCTCTTAGTTACCGCAATTCTTTCCCTATCAATTCGTCAACTTTGATACCGGCCTTTTTTTTTTTTCTTTTTTTCATCCCTATGCTTCTAGTCCTTTAATGATATTTCAGAGTGCCCATTCCGCTCTCTCTCCTTCTTTCTCTCCTAAACACACACTTTTCTTATCTATATCATTGCCATATCCTTCCTCCTCTTACCTGCTCTTCCGTTCCAGCAGGATGGCCATGAGACTAGCCAGGAAACCGGGAAGGTAGGACGCATTCAGAAAGTTGAACCGGCCTACCAATTTCCTGCAGACATATGAGAGAGAAGAAAAAAACTGTAGGGAATTGCATGCGTAGACGGTATCGTTTGCTGGTGATTTGAAGATGCGCGATATATTCACACTATGCCGTGTAATTTTACTTTGTTTCGATTTAAAGTAGCAATGAAGCCAAGGCGTTACTTTTACGCGTTGTCAATTACTCCCGTTATAAGGCCTGGCGTTTTTCGAAGCGAGACTCATGAGCTCGAATAAGACCAAAATAATTTTAGGGTGATATATGCTGATCGAAAAAGAAAAAAAAAACAACTTTCCGAACAGACTGCACGGTTGATTCAAGACAAGTTGTCTTACACGTTTGGTTAATTATGGTTGACAGTCCTATTAACTATTCCAGAATATATGAGATCATATTTGAAAGAAGCGGGCAACGGAAAATTGAAAAGAGGGCAGCACAACATTAAAAAAAGAACACAATTTAGCTTGCGAACACAGCAATATTCTTAGGAATCAGCCCAGATCACAGGCAGGATCAATCCAAGTCACCGGCCGGATTAGCCCAGACCATTGTCCGGATGTACCCAAACCATCGGTCGGATTAAGCCGGACCAACGCTCGAATTCATTCGGACCATCGTCCGGATCAGCCCTGACCACCCCCCAGATCAAGCCAGACCACAACCCTGACCAGCAAATGACACATGCTAACTGTGTATTTCCTTATCATCTTCAGATTTTTTTTACGGCAACTTTGAAGCAATTTGTAATGTACTGTAACTGACATGCCCTTCCGGTTACGGCCGTAATGTTCCCCCGCAGTTGGACCGCGTGGGGACGAAACGAATGCACATGGCGCACCTGAGTGAGCAGAAAACGGCGATGAAGGCAAAGGCGTTGAAGCTCAGGAAGAAAGACGAGATAAGCGCCCCCTGCAGGGTCTTCCGGACGGCCTTCTTGTCGTAGCGGTTGCTATACACCAGTGACGCCTGCGAAAGAAAAGAAACGAGGGCAGCTGTTATGCATCATATTCTAGACTACTACGATCCAACTCTGCCACAAAACTTTTTTTTTTTTTTTTTTTGGGGGGGGGGGGGGGGCGGGGGCTGCATTTAGATTACACAAGCATGCCCTGTCTTGCATTCTGGGACATTTGCCCTTGAGCCCTCTCTTAAAATTTCACAGCAAACCTTCATAAAAAAAGTTATTTCGGTCGAATGACTGAAATTTTTTTAATAATACTCGGAAGAGTTTTAAACGCAATGCAATAATAGAATAGTGCAAATTAATAACTTAGGAACGTATCCTTTTTGTGTTTTCTTTTCTTCTTAGGCTAGCATATTTGTTTACACCGGGTGCTATGAATAACTTTTTTGAAAATCTGTCATTTCTAGCAACCATATTGAATAAGCTTCCGTGGGATTTTAATTGCGCGAGAAGCATAGAACATATCAACTTTAAAGTTCCACTATTTTAATAGATATTTTTTATGCCTCAAAATCATTTCGCATTTTTCCTTGTAAAGTTACCGTGCCCATGTACACTCACGCACTGTGGTCAAACAATATTTACAACCACTCGTGATCATACGATCGATGGTAGACACCACGTGGGAAATCGCAATGAGGCTAGAACAGAATATCTCGCAATGTAGGCCCTGCAGACGAGGTGGAGTAAGACTCGTTTATTAGCTGCAAAGGGGACTAACCCTTTGCGGAGCTCGGAAAAACCGCTTACGGTGAACCGCGCATTCCTCTCTGAAATTTTGTGAACGGAAGGATAGAGTACGCGATTAGCTGACATCGTGGGCCGACTTCAGAATGATTTGGAGTCGCAACCTGTCAAAGGAGAAATGGCCCCTAAATCATAGCTATAAAACAGTAACCGCACCTAAAAAGCGAAGAACAAGAAACGTGGTACACAGACCACAGACTCTAAAAAAAGCACGTGCGTCTGCCTTCCCGCACGACACTCGGAGAGCCAATCAGCGCAACTTACGGAAGCAGCTCAGAGAATGACAATGCCGAAACATATGTTTAGACCAAAATACGCAATCCGAGTTGTGACATTAAGCAATGCAAGCGTGACGTTTTGCATTGCTTAATGTTACAACTCAGACTGCGTTTTTTGGTCTAAACATATGTTTCGGCATTGTCATTCGCTGAGCTGCTTCCGTAAGTTGCGGTGATTGGCTCTCCGAGGGTTGTGCGTGAAAGTAGACGCACAAACTTTTTTTTAGAGGGTAGCTATTGTCCCCCTACAAGATTATAAAAGATTAACCCTTCGCTCAAAATTCGTACAAAAGCAGCCGCTTCGTTGGCTGGAACGACTAGGCCATCCCCTCGACGTCAGCCTCGTCGTAGCTTTGCTCGTCCCGAGACGACCTACGTCACGATTGCGTCGGATGTCACGTGCTCTAAGCTGGGCCTTCTCCGAGCGCTTGCTAGAGTGGGCCGTTTATAACAAAAATACAGCCACCAGGCTCAAAATACAAACGTGCAATTGTCATTTACGGATATTGTGGATTATATGCAACCTGTTTTTGAACACGGCGGATATATTTCAAATTTCGTTGAAGTATCTCTTTAAGTCACGCATGCGCACTACCGTCAGTGTTCAACAAGAGGCGGTGAAGGCGGTCAGTTTGCGTAAAAATACTGTTTGTGTGAAAGCTATCGTCGATGACAGCTTATGAACCCAGCAAGAGGCGCTCAGCCTACCAGGCAAACATTGTGCCTTTGATAACTGCGGACCCCTGGACCCAATAAGAGCGTCGGAGCAAGGCACGCGACAACCCTCCATGGCCGAAGCCACGGAGGCCTTGTTGCCACTACAGCAAAAGCGCCGTTCGCGACGAAAAGTAGTTCTAGGCTCCGTTCTCTTTTAACGACAATTGAACTCGCACGATTGCCTCTCTAGCGACGCCGCGTTACACGACACGGAAGAAAGACGAAGACACGTTACTTTTGAACGATATACTTAATTCGGATCAAGCCTTTTTCCGAGAACGACGATAGCTTTTGAACGATGTCTGAACGATCGCAGCCCCGTAAACGACCGCTCCCGCTCGAAACATCGTTTTCTCACTAGCAGCCGCCGCAGATTCGCGCGCAAATTGGGCGTATGGGTTGTCTCATGAATAGTTTCAGAAGAGATCGCTACACTGAAGGACGACAATGTTGCGGCGGTGGACGCTCGTCGGAAGTCGGTTGGTTTCGCAGCAGACGACTCTCGGCCAGCAGAAAACGGCCGGTTCCTCCGGGCCTCGCATTTGGCGCAGTGACACAAACGCTCCCTTGACGCGAGGTCACGTGCCTCGCTACGACGCTCTTACTGGGTCGCGGGGGCCGTAGCCTCCGCAGCTCGCCAAGTCATCGTGAAACGGAGTATGGGCTTGGACGGTACTCAATATAAGTAATACAATTTCTCCTAATCGACTACTTTTTAAAGTCATTTTGTAATCGTTTGATGACGTTTATTAGGAAGTAATCGCAACATTAATCTGATTACTTTTGGAAGTACTAAAACTATTTTTAACCTTCACTTTTTTCCCCCTTCCCCTTTCTAGTGGCGCCATCTGTTCGTTCAAGTTTCCCGCCAAGGAATCCTCTGACCAAATGTCCGACAGGGGGACGGTTTCCCAAAAGCTGGTGGATTAACAAGATAAGTAGTTCATAATTCGCTTATTTTAATCCAATAATCGACGGTACGAAAGAACCCGTTTCCAAACCGGCAGAAAACTGTTTTGTAAATGTGCGGTAATAGGAGAGGTATACGTTTATTTTTTTAAGTCACGGCCAAATACTTTTCGTCCGAGTCGTGTAATTGCGTAATCTAACTGAATGCATTTTTAAGCGGGAGTAATTGTACCTCGAGTGACTTGTACAAGACTGCCGGTGACCGACTACATTTGCGTTTGAGTCAGGCAGACTGAGCCACGACTACTCGCGTTCCACTACAGTATACGTTGAGCGTATAACTCGGTTGCCATTAGCAACCCCCTCACCGTAAGCAGTTACAAGCAGCAAAGCTTGCTACGCAGCCGGTCGTACCCAAACGCAAACGTCTGAATTGGCCTTTACTTTCTCCCACAACGCCGTTCTCTGTTCTCCTTCTGTTTGCAAAGGGGTATCCACACGAAGGACAACTCCGCGGACGGATGCCGTGACGTGAACAACCCGGGAAACTCCGTCCTCGGCTCCGCCGCCCACCTGCGGAGCTTTCGTGCTGACAGTGCGAAGCCTCCGCGCCTCCGCCACGCAGAACGGCGCCGCGAGGCGTCAAAAAGGGATGACGTATAAACGGAGCATCCGTCGCGCGATCAGCTTCTTCCGATTTCGGAGGTCACGCGATACGCGTTCTTGGTCAGCGGCCGCTCGCGTAATTCCAACGCTCCCGCCGTCGAGCAGAAAGAGAAAGGATAACGAATTGAAAGGGAGCGAACCGTCGAAACTAGTTGGGTGCCCCGTCGTGATGGCCGGAGTACGTGACCGCGATCGGGGGCTGCGCGGGCAGATAGCGAATGGGTCGACGCTCGCGACACGTCTGTCTACCGAGGCCCTGGTCCGGGCACGACATGTAGGCTAGGCTTTGTGTCTTGAACGCAGAGCGACCGAACTTATCCCATCGAGAGGCGTGGAGTTCGCTCGAGCGTATACCTAGGCCTACATAAAGGAGGCTCGTTAATATTACCGGAAAGATAACTGCGCAGCTTGACCACGGCTTAGGGACCCGCCTCAACGATTTTGGAAATATGACTCGGATACGATCATTTATTTAGTTTCCAGCGTCGCGACAACTATAAGGAGGCGTCTGCGGTTGCGAGGTGGTTAAATTTACCCATTTCTAGAACCCGGAACGTTCGTCGTAATTTGTCTAGACTTGTAATATATTCCATTGGCCTTGTCAAATGACCGGTGTTCGATTAACTTCAACCGAAGCAGACGACATTCTAACTTGAAACTAGAAGGTAAACATGGCTGTGACGTATCCCAGCATAGTAGTGCTTGTAGTTTGCGATTCATAAACATAAAATAAACCAATCCACAAACATATGCCCCCCCTCCCCGGCCTGCTGGACGGATTATGACAATCCAGTGTACAGCACGAGGGGGACTATCCAGAAATAGAAGTTGAAGTTGATGTCAGTTTAACATTTCGCGATTTTGGAACGCAAAGAAGGCAGAAGGAAACTGAAAACAGAGTACTTGGTGATCTTGTCTTTGTTCGTTTTAGTTTTGGCGTCTTCTCAACTTGCGATGATAAGAAAGAACGGATCGTTCCAGGATATGGAAAGCGTCCGAATCGGGCTTAGAGTACATCGGAACAGCCCCACAATTCCCCGTGCCACGCGGTGCAACGCGGATAGCCGCGATGTCTCCTGAGATTTTCCGGAGAGGTCTCTCGGCGTGTTGAAGTTCGCGTGGCTCAGTGGCCGGTGTGCCCACTGATCTCTATGACTATGTCTATTTGCTGGGTCGCGTTTGCCCGCTCCGCGAATGCGGCCACTGGCGGCCATCTTTTTGGTAGAGTTATATTACCTCTAGCCAGTGTACAGCTGGTGCAGCCACTATCATCCATCCATGGCAGACAGCGTTGCGGCAAAAATAGCCGTGGGTCATATTTCGTTCTTGATTGAAATTGTTTGACAAAACATATTGTTGAAACCCGGCGTGAACGGTAGCTCGATCTTGAGGACCCGGTGAAAGTTTCACGAAATCGCAGCAGCGGGGAAAAGCAGCACAGCACGCATCGAAAGTCGCACCGAAAGAAGCATCGAAAGCAGACGCCGGTACGGCGTCTGCTTTCGATGCGAGCGGCGCTGCTTTCCGCCGGTGCTGCGCTTTCGTAGATCTTTCGCCAGGTCCTTAAAGATGGGGCTACCGTTCACGCCGGGTTTCAAGAATCTGCTTCGTCGAACAACTTCAATCAAGCACGAAGTATCACCAAGGGTACAGTGTACTAGATCCACGGTTATTTTATGGCAGCC